AGGTTGATTTCCAGAGAAATGCTTTCCCCAGCTGCCCTCCGATGCAGGATAGGGCCCTTATTTCTCAGTTACTAAGAGCCTCTTCCTGTTACTTAAATCTGTCTGCTCTGGTTCTATCTTTAGTAAGCATTTAGATAAGACCTGAGGAGTTAATGCTTTCCTGGCAAACCCTGAAGGAATGCTTTGCTGTTCCTTTCCTTCTTTTATGAAGGCCAGAGACTGCTGAGCAATAACACAATCCACTTGAGCGAAGGCGGCCTGGCTGTCACCAGCTCAGGCAGCCTGTCCATGTGGATGCAAACATCCCTCTGAGGTCACTGTTTGGTCAGAAAATGTAACAGGGACAGAAAAATATCTGTTGAACACAACAGTGGCAGTCAGCTCTGAAGGGTCCTACGGGAATGACAAATTTCCAGAGAGTCAGAAGCACTGGGCAGGAAGACCGAAAAGACTCAATCAGTCCTGAAGCATCTTGAAATATAGTCTCAGAGGGGGAGTGCCACAAAACTGGGAACACAGATAACGACAAGAAAACTGTTGCAAAAAGAAAGTTAGCATCAAGTCAGCAGAAGGGATGCTATAAAGGAAGCTTTCGGTGCCGCAGGGCTCTGGTGACGTCACAGTTATTATATGGCAGAGAGAAAGGAGGAGCAGTACCGAGAGGGAATCATTCCAGGGAGCAGGTGGGCCCCACATGGAAGCACAGAGGCCAACTGTGCAGGAGACTGTCTGTCATCCCGTTGGTCCCAGCTTCCCAGCACTGAACCATCTTCAGGCTGTCTTAGAGGTGCACTGGTAAAAGGGGAGTACCAACGAATTGACCCAGTTAGCTAGTCAGCTTCCCATTGCTGTACCAAATGCCCGCGATGACAGCTTATGAAGATAAAGAGGTTTATCAGGGTGCACAGTTTTAGAGGTTCCTGTTAATGACCATTTCACTAGATTGCTTTTTGGACCCATGGAAGAGCCGCATAGCATGCCAGGGAGTATGTGGAGACGGGAAATTACTTCTTACCTCTACCTCATGGCCAGAAGAAAGAGGACAGAAACTGGGGCTGCAAAACCCCTTAGGAGAGCATGCTCACCAGGAACCAAGGCTCCCCACTAGCACCCCAATCTTCATTGTTCCACCCTTTGCAAACAGAAAGGGCCTAGGGACCCAGGCGTCAACACTCGGGGCTTTGGAGACTACTCTACATATGAACCATAGCACCTAATAACTGCCTCCCTCTCTCCCCCATCTCTTCCTCTCATTCTCTCAATTTCTCTCTGCATGCTTGTGTGTGTGTGTGTGTGTGTGTGTGTGTGTGTGTGTGTGTGTGTGTGTGTGTCTGTCTGTCTGTCTGTGTGTGTGTGTGTACCTGTTAGTGCATGTGCATGGAAGCCAGGGGTCAATGTAGTCTTGTCTTCCTGGATTGTTCTCCACCTTAGTTTTTGGTGATGGGGGTCTCTCAGAGCTCACTGATTGGCTAGACTGGCTGGTGAACAAACCCCAGGAAGCTTCCCATCCTTGCCTTTCCAGCCCTGGGATTACAGGCATACGCAGCAGCATCCAGGTTTTATTACGTGGGTCCGGGGATCTGACTAGAGCCTCAAACCTGTGTGGTAAACGCTTTACTGACTAAGCTATTTCTCCATCCCTATGTATTGTTTTTGCATTTTATTTTTTTAAGGGTGGAGGGTATATATGTTCGTAGATGAACATACACAATCCTATAGATGTGTACATGAGAGTATACGTGTGTGCATATGCACGTGGAGGTCCATGTTAGGCATCTTTCTCATCTGCCTTCCACTTGTCTTAGAGTTACCATTGCCATGATGAAACACCATGACCAAAAACACCTTGAGGAGGGTTTATGCGTCAACATTACTGTTCATCACTGAAGGAAGTCAGGACAGAAAATCAAGCAGGACAGGAACCTGGAGGCAGGAGCTGATGCAGAGGCCATGGAGGGGTGCTGCTTACTAGCTTGCTCCTCATGGCTTGCTCACCCTTCTTATGTATAGAACCCAAGAACACGAGCCTAGGGGGTGCTACTGCCCACAGTGGGCTGGGCTCTCCCACATCAATCTCTAATCAAGAAAATGGTCCATGGGCTTGCCTACTGCCCAATCTTAAGGAGGCATTTTCAGAACTGAGGTTCCCTCCTCTCAGATGACTATAGCTCCTGTCAAGTTGATACAAAACTATTCAGCACAACACTTCATTTTATTTAAGATACAGTCTATCCCTGAACCTGGAGCCCATCTCTTTAGCTAAGCTGGTTGGCAATGAGCTCCAAGAATCCACAGGTCTCTAACTCCCCAACACTAGCATCACAGGAACTTCCTCTGTGCTCAGCTTCATGTGGGAGCAAGGGATGGGACTCGGGGTCTCATTCTTGTCCAGCAAGCACTTTACTGACTTATCTCTCTAGCCCTTAACTGCCTTTGTACGAGAACTTGACAGAACATCCTTAAAGCATCAAGCTAGAAGAACGGAATAGTAAGGTCAGAAAATATCTGGAAGGAAGAGATGCAGCCACAAGCACTCAGTTTGGAGCCAACATGGAAGAGAAACAGGATGTTTGGAGACGGTTTCACTAGGAAACTCAGAGTGGGTTAGTTGATAGTGGCTTTTTGTTTTTGTTTTGTTTTGTTTATTTTTTGAGATGGCTGTGCAGGGATTTTCTCCAGTTAAGTGAAGAGAAACATGGAAACACCAGTGTCTAACCCATAGCAGGTTGACTTCTCCTTTTCTCCCATAACCCAGCCTGCCCACCTCCTTCGACTCTTGCCTGATCTCCCTAAGGGATGGAGGCCAGGACAATCAAAGAGCGAGGGGCAGACCCACTACTCTCCCCCTCCCAGGTTGTGCAGGCACAAAAATGCTTAAGCATCTCCGTGCTACAGTATTTGTCTTACTATTAATAATTGGCTTGTGAATATGATGTACATTATTATCCAGCTCTTCACTTCCCAAATGATCAACCACCCATATGGCTGTTTACTTATCAAGGTCACCAGGATTAGGCATCAGCATCACAACTCCCTGGAAGACATCCAAGCATCAGTAGAAAGTGGGACTCCAAGAGGGAGGGAGCTGGTAGTCATTGTAGGAATGGCAGCTGAGCTCGTGAAGCCTGGCGAGGACGCTTGGTAAGTGTGTTTGGCTCCAGATAAAAAGAACTTCCAAGGCTCTGCTTCTTAAACTATGGCAGTAGCATTCAGCCCAGTGGGTGCATGCTTCCCGTCCCCTCACTTTCTCTGAGTTTTGGCTTATTGGCATAAGATGGGGAGTCTGGATTTTTTTTTTTTCTAAGTGAAAATTCTCACTTTGCCGTATTAGTTATTCCTTTGGATTCCTGGTGAAATGCGAGGCTGCATCAAAGCCCGAATTTGGTAAAAAGGCAACAGGGAATTAGCATCTGATTACAGGATTACTTCTCTAGATGAGCCATGGGTGATGAGTTTGCTGGCCCCAGGCAGGTGACATGGTACTTATCGAAAGATGCACGTGTGAATTAAATCAACTCATTCCCAAGGAGGAACATGTTTGACACAGTGTGATGACATTAAAGAAAAGGGGTGTAGGAATGGCTTAGTGGGTAAAGAGCTTGCTCTCCAAGCATGGGCATCTAAGCTTGGCTCCTAGGTACCCACATAATAGCTGCTCAAGGTGGCAGTAACCTCAGCAGGGCTTGGAGTATATTCCCTGGAAGCTCATTGGCCAGTCAGCCCAACCAACAACATTATTCAACATGTAGATTTGGATCTTGAGGAAACCAGAGCACAAAACTCAGCCAATGGTCAGTATCTCTCTCAGCAAAATGTTGAAACAGTGTTTTCCAGGCCTGGGGTTCATGGGGTAGTGTTAGCGGGCAGCAAATCTTTTCCACATTGATTGTCATGAATTTTGAGACAATGACAGCTTTGAAGGGCAGAAGAAAGTCTTTGGGTAAACATGGGAGTTTTAAGCTCTTATGAGTTTTCCTGATTTGTTTGTGTCTTGCTTCCTGGAACCTGAGATCTTCCTATTTAAACTGCTCAGTAGTGTGGAAATCCATCTGTAATTGTGGAGAAGCTGAGCCAGGATTGCCCAGGGAGACTATACTCACAGCTCTAATGAGTCAGCCTCAGCCCTGCAGTGGAGACCTGGACACCTTGCTCAGCCCTGCTTGTCTGGGTCACAGTCGACTCTTCAGACTCCAGTGACCCGAACATCTTAGAGCAGGTTCTGCTTTCTGTGTCACCCCTCAAAACAGGAGTCAATGAAAAATATGTGCCTAGATAAGCCACACTGAAACATTTAAACACTAATCCTGTTTGTGACGCACAGTCCTAGAGGAATCTTAGTGAGCGGCCACTGCTTTGCCCTTTAGAGTAAGGTATTGTTTAGACAAGGGGATAGATTTTGTTTAAACCTTCCTTTATTCCATTCCTGGAAATGAATTTCATTATTAGTCATGGGCAAAAGTCACTTCTTTTTCAGAACTGCCAAAGGTGGCCTTTCCCGGTAGCTTAACTTTTCAATGATTTTTCTAAACAACATGACAACTGTCAGCTCCTCATCTTTGCTTTCAGCAGAGTCCCTCCGCTGCGACACCAGATTTTGCTCATTTACATCCTCAGTGTGCTTAAAAAAAAGATTGGTTTGTTTTTATTTTGAGTATATGAGCGTTTGACTGCATGTATGTATGTGTACCACACGCATGCCTGGTGCCCATGGAGGTCAGAAGATGACATCAGATCCCTTGGAATCGTAGTTATAGAGATGGCCGTGAGCAACCATGTAGGTTCTGGGAACTGAACCCCAGGCCTCTGGAAAATGAGCAAGTACCTTTAGCCACTGCGCCATCTATCTCTCTAGCAGCCCTCAGGATGCTTTTCAATAGTGGCAGGAGGGAGAGACAGGTGTGAACCGGAGGGCACCGAAGAACAGTTTGGAAACATACACAGGCACTTTAGCACTCAGTATAAAAGCCACTGATGTTCAAGTTCATTATTCCTCTACTTACCATTGCATGATTAACCCATGCTGGAAAGAAATCATCCAGGCCCTCGGGGTAAACGAGACTTCGATCGTAGTGAAAGAGGGTCCAGAATACCAGGAATACAAACTGGAGAGGAAACACAAAAGTATTATTATTAGATTTGTTTTTTATCAGAGGTTTCTAAGTTAACCAAGAAAACAGCAGCATAAAAATTGATGGTGGTTTGAAGGACATCGGATATACATTTTAGGGACATAAAAGGAAAGAGGAAATGCTCATTTTATAACAGTGTATCCTGGCTCTCTGGGGAATCTTCAATGAGAGCAATGGGTTAGAGAGCAACTGTGGCCATTGTGGCCTGCAGAGAAGACACAGATGAAAAGGATGCATAGACCTGAGTCCTTCATTGTCACCAATGACCTCTCTCTCATCTGAGCTCATACCAAGAGCACTGTGAATGAGCATATGGAATGGCTTGGCATGTCCCTTGCCCCTCCCCCCTTTAAGTAGTCATGGCAAAGGACAACAGGGAGGCTTGGATTTGGGCTAAGCACTAGATCATTTGTAAGCTAGGACAGTGAGAGATGATCTCTCCATTGCTCAGAACTTTGGATTTGTCTGTGTCTACTGTACCCTTTGTATGGCCTATCTCAGTGCTACGAATGAGTGGGCAGGCTATCAGTTCTCCCATGATGCTATCTTCTGCACATGCAGAGGCTCAGTTTGCAAGACAAATGAACAGACTCCACTGTCCCTTTTAACATCTTGAACTTTAGAAGATTTTCTGAGAGTAGAGGTGAAGATTTTCCACAAAGAAACCTGGAATGCTAAGAGCTTGCTCCATCTGAGAACTCACTGGAGGTAGAAAGTTTCATTCTGCACTTGGTTTTGAAGTCTGCATGCCACAGAAAGCAGGACCATGGTGGGCGAAATAAGGTAGTGGTTTCTAATCCCAGGCCCTGCTGCACAGCCCGTGTATATGATCTCAGTCTGTCTCCATCCCAGCTAATGAGCTGAAGCATAAACAGTGTAATAGCAATCTGGGCAGCATTAGCAAATCAGCTTACTTCTGCTTGTGTGTGGCTTGCTTTTCTTGCTTTCTGTCCATTAGACACAGCACACGAAGCACCTGTCCTGTGTTCTGCATTGGTTTGTCATTCTCTCCAATGTGTGTTTTCCATGGGCCAACTTTGAAGGTCTTATGTCTTTTTTCTTTTCAATTTTTTTTTATTTGATAGATTTCTGAATGCATAGATGTGATAATCTTCCCTACCTAGGCCTCTCCTTCCCTCGGCCATGATGGAAGCAAGTCTGTCCCATAGATACGGTCATCTCTTAGCATTCACAAGGATACTCCAATCCGTAGATGTTTAAGTCCTGTATATGTAATGGAATCACGTTTGCCTAGGACCCATATACACTCTCTTGTGTGTGTGTGTGTGTGTGTGTGTGTTAAATCACCGAGAGACTGTTTATAATATCCAGCACAATGTAAATGTTACATGGTTGTTATAAGTATTTTTAATTTGATTTCTTTTTATGTCAAATATTTCTGATCCTTAGTTGAATTTGTGGGTGCAAACTGTGCAAACATGGAGATTATTTCTTTTACTGTATTTTGATTAAACTTTCCTGTCAGCAGCAGCAAGGACCATGCACAAAACCTTCACACAGACAGAAAGTTAATGATAAGCTCATCCGTCACGTACCCTACTTCCTAAAGACATCAGTCAATGTAGTCAGTCCCCAGACAGGACATTTATAGAAATGGAGATTCTCTGGTTATAATAACTAGTCCCCAAACAACCTTACTGTTCCAGGAGAAGTGTCCATCCATTGTACATGCCTGTGGTGTGAGATACACATTCGGGCACTTACCGTGGAGATAGGAAAAGCCAGTGTGGTGAAAAGTAGATCTCTGAAGGATGTGATGAACTTGATGTCTTTCCTTCCTACGATTCTTTTCAGCACATCATCCAGGCAGGCGACCCCAAAGAAGACGGCCTGCAAGACCTGAATTCATTACAACAAATGAGCATTTGCCACTTAAAGAAGACTGCAACCCTGTGGGAGCGATGTTGATTTGAGAAGGAGGGGATGTAGTGTTGCTTGGGTGGAGAGTCGATCCAAGGGCTGGGATTCCAGCTCATTGGGCCTTGACCTTCCATACAAAAACTGTTGGAGGAAATTCATTTACGAGATAATAATGTGTACAGTATTTAGTCTAATGGCCTTCAGCTAAAATGGAAACAAAATAAGGGTTTCCAGGGAGGATGTAATGAGGTGTATAGCATGGCTGCACAGTTTAGAACCAAATCTACAGCTCAGGGAGAAGGACCAAGCACAGTGGTGGCATGGTCGGGCGTCCTTTCCCAGGAAAGATAATTACGATAAAGCCCCAGGGGGCTGGGGAGACAACCCAGTCACAACATGAGGACCTGAGTTCAGATCCTTAGCATTCCTGGAAAAGCAGGGTATGGTGCAGCATATGTCTGTAACCCCAGAACTGTAGGATGAGGGCAGAGACAGGTGGACCCTTGAAATCACCAGCCTGTCAGCACAGTCAGTTGGTGAGCTATGGTTTCAGTGAGAGACAATGACTCACAAAATAAAGTTGACCCGTGGCCTCCACACATACATACATGCATGTACACATGCACATACATGCATAAGCATTCTCTCTCTTTCTCTCTCTCTCTCTCTCTCTCTCTCTCTCTCTCTCACACACACACACACACACACACACACACACACACACACACACACACACTGAACTCTCACTGAGAAAGCCATAATGAGGGTCATGACCACAAGGATGGAGCCCTGTGCTGTTCAAAGAAAATAAGAAAATGGAGACAGTGTGAAGCCAGTGCAAGGCCCTGGCTGAAGGCCATAGAGAGGCAACCTGACAGTTGGAGAGATTTAAATCATGGGATACCAGAAGCAAGACCCAGAGTTCTGGCAGCTGCTGAGTTCTATGAGGTCCATGAGGCAAGGCAAGAGAGAAACAGAGTCTCTTTCACTCAAGTAAGATTGAAGGCCCCTACCCAAATTGGCACTAGAAGTATTTTGGATTATTGATTTCTTTGTCCAGATTTTAGAATATTGACACACAATGGGGATAAGACTCAAGTGTACAAACAAAATTCATTTAATGTTTATGCTCACTTCTTAAAAATAGCTTGAAGGTAACCTTATACTATATATTTTTTAAATAGTTTTGTGCATGAAGTCAAGTTACCTGGTGTGAATTCTTACATTTGTGGTGTCATACTTGTGACCAAGAAGCTTGGATGTTAGAGCCTTTCAAGAGTCAGGTCTTTGGATTTATTTGGGATGCTGAGCCCTTAGTATGGCCTGAAAGGCAAGCCTTCAGTGGTCTTGGTATTTCGTACAATGTTACAGCTGCTAATTTAAGGCCTGGTGGGTGCTGACTATGCCGAGATTGGGTTAATTTGATGTATATTTGCTTTAGAAGTCATCTGTCTTTGGAAGCTCTGCATTGGCATGTGAGGGGCAGTTGGATTCTAGCCTAGACTATGAAAATTCTGGAGCCCGGTGGAGCTGGGTTAATAATTGATCCGGGTTGGCTGTTGGGGAACAGTGTCTAAAGTCTAGGCTGGAGCAAAGATCTAAAGTTGGCTTCAGGACACTCCCTGTGCTGAGGCATAGGTGGGGGAAGAAGCAGATGTGGACTCTGCCGTGACTCAGCGCTGAGTCCTCAGACCAGCAGCAAGTGTACTGCCTGGAGCTTCTCAGAAAGCCAGGCTCTTCTCCACCTGCAGACTTTGGGATCACAGTGCCTGGGAAGAAGGGCCCAACGGTGATTTTTAAGGAAGCACTTATGTGTCCTTGCGTAGGCAGAAGCCTCTGGATTAGACATCCATCATCCATGGTCTTACTAAGAACTCAGACCTCCAACAGCTGACTTTTAGTCATGGCTTGTTACAGACCAGATTTGAGACTCACTTTTAATTTTCAAATGTCCTCATGTGCTAGCCTTAAGCTGGCAAACCCATCTTAAAGATGAGGAAAATTTGCTAGCGGTGGTGGTGGTGGTGGTGGCGGTGGCAGCGGCCGCCGCCTTTAATCCCAGCACTCAGGAGGGCAGAGGCAGGCAGAACTCTGAGTTCAAGGCCAGCATCGTCTATAGAGCAAGTTTCAGGATAGCCAGGGTGACATAGAGAAACCCTGTCTTAGGTGGGGGGTTGAGGAAAATGGGATAAAGAGAAATTAACAAACTTGCTCCAAGCTCCAGGGCTTCAGAGTCTGGTTCTTGAGCCAGACGTAAGAAACATCAGATTTCTCAAACAGTCCACACAAAATTCTGTGGGAGGTCAGAGGAGAAACAATTCTACCTGAGTGAGAAGATAAAATACATCTTTGAAAAGTATCAATGTCTGGTTTCTACCCCTAGAGATTCCCTTTTAATGGGTCTGGGAGTGTAGGCTAGGTAATGGGGGAGTGCTTAATACATTTTCCCAAGGCTGTCTGATTTTCTTTTCTGGTGTGTGTGTTGGTGGGGGTGGAGGGAGGTTTAGCCATGAATCTACCTTGGGCCTTATTCCTCAGGAGCCTTCTTCCATCCTGGTTTTGGAGGCAGAGTCTTTCACTGGGACTCTGCTTCAGCTAGGCTGCTCAGCAAGCAATCCCCAGAAATCTGCCCATCTTCATCTCCTCTGTGCTGGGATTACAAGTTCATGCCCCACACATCCGGCCTCTTTCTTATGTAGGTGATAGAAATAACAGTTCCATCCTGAAGCTTGTGCCCAGGCACTTGATCAGCTAAGGCATCCCACTTGCCACATTCCTGGGTTCTCCTCATCCTGGGTAGCTGAGACTGAGGCAAACCTCCTCTTAGAAATATAGACCAGGTGGTCTCAGAGAGATGGGAGCAGGAGAAGAAGACTTAGCCAGTCCTTTGAGGTGGAATGAAATTCCTAAGGGAGCCGTGCGTAGGGGACAACCGCTGGGAAGTTTCCTTTTGTGTGGTGAGGCAGGGTTATCCAAGGTAGCCAAGACAGATTCAGGAACAGAAAACACAGACTGGGTGAGGTCACAAGGTGCGTAGCAGAGCAGGAGGCTTCCCAAGGACAGAGGGTGTGTGGGAGGGAGGGCAATGGCCAGTTCTAAATGCCATGCAGAGGTTCCCTCCACAATGTTTATATTCCTACTGTCTGTGCCTTTGGAACTCAGCCCGAGAGCTGTAGAATTCTGAACGTGCACGCAGTCGTTTGCACACGGATGTCAGAAGTTGCATCTTCTCCCTCCTCCTCCCCCCACCCACATAGCTCTCAGACCTAGTTTCACTTCCAGATACTCTGGCAGCAGCAGCCCCTTCCTGTCTTTGCAGAAGCAACCATGGGGTCTGGGCTCTGTTGATCAACACAGCATTTCATCACACACTGATCATCCTCGAGATCTGGCATCTTTGGAAGAAAGACCGCCTCCACCCAGAGAGTGAAATTTATGCTACCCCACGTCCTTTGGCCAGAGCTTCTTAGAGTCACTGGGAGTCAAGTCCATCCTCTTTCTTGCCCATCTCAGCTACGGAGTGTGGAAACCAGATTAAGAAAGAAAGTATATTACTCAGCTCCTCCGAGGTTTCTCTCCATCAATATGAATTAGCTCCTCACTGTAAATGTGCCAATCACCTCTCCCCCTCCACCCCCGGCTCACACGTCGTCTTGCAAGACATATGCCACACTGGCATCTCCAGACGCCAACTCAGTGTGAGGCAGCCTTGCTGCCATTGATCTGAGTGCCGACATCCCACATCAGTATCAACAATGAAGATTCGGGTAGCAGCAGGTCCCACCCGAGTGTTGGAGAGGAAGGCACCAGGGGGTTGTCAAGTCAAAGACACAGGCTAAAGCTGGGGCATAAGGGGGCCGCTGAGCAGAGTTGGAGGATGACGAGTGTGAGAAGTTAGGGGTTCTAGGAAGTCTTGAGGGGTGTCAAGAGCACACTTGGGTCAACTCAGGTCATCCACATGGGTAGTGATCTGCTTATCTAACAACAACAACAACAACAACAAAAAGGGAGTGGTGGGCAGTGGTGATGCATGCCTTTAATCCCAGCACTTGGGAGGCAGAGGCAGGTAGATCTCTCTAAGTTCCAGGCCATCATGGTCTACAGAGTGAGTTCCAGGAAAGGCGCAAAGCTACACAAAGAAACCGTCTCGAAAAACCAAAAAAAAAAAAAAAAAAAAAGATAATGTTTATACACACACACACACACACACACACACACAGTGTGTGATGGCACTCTTAAAAGAGAAAGAGTTATCAGGAGAAAATGCCAGCAGTTAATGGACTCCTCTGTCTCCCCTCCAGAAATATATTTGTTGATGTTCAAACACCTGAGGAATTCTCAGAATGTAACTATATTTGGAAATAGTCTTTAAAGAATTAGGTTACAATGAGTGCACACGGGCAGGCCCATGCAATCTACCTAGTGTCCTCTAGGACACAGATATACATAGGCAAGACCATGAGAAGATACAGGAAACAGATGGGACATCGGCAAGCCAGTGAGAAGACTTGATGTCAGACTTGCGGTTTCCATAACAGTGACACAATAAGCTTCCACTGTCCATTAGGACAGCCTTGCCAAATGATGTGGTGGCTCTACAAGCAGAGCTTGAATTGGGAAGCATTAAAGAAACTTACAGCACAATGACCAGCACTTGGATCCCTCAATTGACGTGTCACATGAGTATCAATAAGGAATACGTGGTCAGTGACAGGCCGCACATGGATGCTGCCGAGGGAAAGACGCAGCAAGAGCTAGGGTGTAAAGGAATCCCTGAGCAGAGCTGGAGGAGGAGGAGGGTGAGAAGCCAGGGGTCCCAGGGAGTTGTGAGGAGTGTCGAGGGAACACTGGGATCATCTTGGGTCATGCAGATGGAGAACGATGTGCTCATGCACCATCCTGGGACAGCAGGCTTCATGGTGTCCTGTTGATCAAAGCCTTTTCATAGCTGATGTTTTCTAATTCGTCCTTTTTACCAG